TTCATTTTATATATATATATATATATATATATATATATATATATATATATATATATATATATATATATATATATATATATATATATATATATATATATATATACACACACACACATACACCCTTCACACAGTGGAATATTGCCCTCCTTTACTATACATTAACTAGCACCTAGGCAAGCAGAAACCTCACTGTGCTCTCCAGTCCTATGTTTTAGTGTAATGGCACACCAAATTCAAAATGGTGGGCTCTCAATATGATAAATTTTCAATACAGCAAAAACAGGCCTTGCCTCGATATCTCTTCAATTTCCATTTTCAATTAATCAAAATGTTCAGCATTATAAAAGTACAATAATTGATTACAATAAGTGCTTTTTAATTGAGTACAATAAGTGCTTGTGTGATCCATTCAGACTCATAGCAGCATAACGCTGGTATATGGAACATGTTCCCTACATATGGGACCGGGTCCCTTATATTTACTGATGCTGTGACTACTAATAAAAGCATATGAATTCTGAAGTATATAAGCCTATAATTTCATATATGTGCTTCACAGTGCAGATGGACATTGACCCAAAGCATACATTTAAAGCAGACATTTTTAAGACAAAGAAATAGAATGCTATGCAATGGCCAACTCAATCACCGGACCTGAACGTGCATTTCATTGGCTAAAGACAAAACTGAAGGCAAAAAGCCCCAAAAACAACTGCAGAAAAGGCTTGGCAGAGCAATATTCAGGTAAGAAACCCAGTGTCTGGAGATGTCTTTGGGTTCCAGACTTCATGAAGTCATTGACTGCAAAAGATTTGTAACCAAATATTTTTTAAAAAATGCAATTTTATTTATGATTATGTTAGTTTGTCCAATTATTTTTGGGTCATTAAAAAGGAGGGGCACATACAAAAAAGTACTGTAATTCCTACATTGTTCACCTGATTTGGATGAAACCCTCAAATTAAAAACTGAAAGTCTGCTATTTGAGCTCATTCATTATTTAAGGTCAATTCCAATACCCCGTGCTAGACATGCTAAAATAACACTAACTTTGTCAATGTGCATATTTATTGACCTGACTGTATATAGGTCATTCAGTGTTCATAGAGATTCCTGTTTGGGATAATTAACACATAGCGACAAGAAGTTAAGTAAGGTAAAGCAGAACAGGTAAAAAATAAATAAATTAATAAAAATACACTGTATGTGTATTTACTTTATTCTCTTTATGGGGACCACATTATGTTCATATGCCTACCTTATGGGGACTTTGGGTATCTGCCTACTTCATGAGGACTTCTGGCCACACATCATAACTAGCCTAACGTCACATGAACTTCACTTCATGATATTACACACATATGGCTTTTAGGCACTCCATACACTCTTAGAAAAAAAATGGGTTTTAAACTAAACTTAACTTTCTGGGTACAATATACACACTAAAGGAAAAAAGGTGTACCCTTGATGGTACCATGCCAGTAACAATGAAAGGTATAGTTTAGTACCCTTTTTCTGATAATGCAACTTTTCCATATTTTTCACAAGTGGAGGGTGGAATTTTTGCATGTGGAGTATTTCACATGATTTTTAACGTGGTCACATTGTTCATGATGTCACAAGCGTTTACTTGAACTCGCATGCAATTTCAGGGCATAACACGTTGAATTGCACCTTCATGGTTTTTTTTTTAACTGACTTTAAAAAGTTTGTGGACAGCTGACCATCACACTCATACGTGCTTGTTGAACATCCCAGCCCAAAACCATGGGCATTAAAGTGAGATGGACTCTTTGTTGTTATAATAACCTCCATTCTTCTGGGAAGGCTTTCCACTAGATTTTGGAGTGTGGCTGTGGGGATTTGTGATCATTCAGCCACAAGAGCATTAGTGAGGTCAGGCACTGATGTCAGGTGAGGAGGCCTGGGGTGCAGACAGTGTTCCAGTTTGGTGTTCAGTGGGGTTGAGGTCAGGGCTCTGTGCAGGACACTAGAGGTCTTGTTAAACCAAGTCCTCATTAACCTCATACTGGAACAGGTTTAGGCTTCCTAGTTCCAGTGAAGTGAAACTGTAATATTGCAGCATACAAAGGCATCCTAGAAAATTGAGTGCTTCCCGGTTTGCCCCACATTTTAGTATGATGGTCAGGTGTCCACAAACTTTTGGCCATATAGTGTGTTACATAATCACATGTGACAAAAAAAGGCAAGATCATATAAATACTTGAGAAATGAGTGGGATTTCTCGGTAAGAGAATGCAAAAAGTTTTGAGCTTAATGCAAAAATAAAAGTTTGCACACCTTCATGTAGACAAGCGCGCGCAATGGCGCATCCTCTACTACCTCTAAGTTTCAACACAACAACAAAAAAAGAATAAAAACACTAATCTCTCAGCATTCAATCTGTCTTATGTTTATGTTTGTTTGTTTTTTTTGTTTTTTTTTAAATCTATTTCAAAAATCAGAAGCAATCACATACTGTTTCAGAGTCACTTATTCAGAGAGAACGCACACTGGACGCCAATAAACGGAATAAAAACTTGCGCAGAAATAAATAAAGGGACGCATCAGCACTCCATGAGGAACTTCTGGGATTAACTGCTGGAGCGCACCTGAACTTCAGTCATGTCTGATTGCATTCAGTCTTACCAGTGAGCTTTTCAGGACTAAAGCGCACGCCAGAGGAAGAACGAAGCCGACTTGCATTTTCGGCACCGACTCCAGCAGCTCCTCTCTAAGCGCCGGTAATTCCTCCGTTAAGAGCTGTGAAAGAGCTGGAAAGAGAACCGCGTCCTGGCTCGTCTTGCGCCCCGACTGCAGGTGGAGTAACGGAAAGGCGCTGTTCAACTCAGCATCACCGCGACACCCCTCCTACTAAACAGCGCACATGGACAAGAGGGATATGGAAAGCCAAAGAGGCCACAGAGTCTCTTGTAAGGCTGAGAGTGGATCCTAAGTGTGTGTGTGTGTGTGTGTGTGTGAAGCTGTGGCGTCCCCGAATGATACAACACATAATGATGAAGAAAAAGCCTGCGGGTTACAGGTATATTATACCAGAGGCCTAGCACTACCTAGCTACCTAATTCACAATACAGGAATTCATAGAGAAATGTGATAAGATGTATGGTTGCTGTTTGTCTTTCGGCTACTCCCGTTAGGGGTCGCCACAGCGGGTCATCGGGTCGCATATTTAATTTGGCACAGTTTTTACGCCCTTCCTGAAGCAACCCTCCCCAATTTTATCTGGGCTTGGAACCAGCACTGGGAGTCCACTGTTGTGTGCAACCGCAGTGTCTGGGGCAGAATCCCTGGCCGGGAATCGAACCCAGTCAGTGTCAACGAGAGCCCTGTGGCCTAACCACTAGTCCTCCATGGACCTGATAAGATGTATGCTAGTAGTATAATATGTAGGGCAGTCAACATACAGAAGTAGATACAGAAGGTGGAGTAGATTAGAGGATTGTCCATGTGCAAAAATGCAAATCTTATATTTTATGCCCGTGGACTGGAAGAGGACTCAGTATTCTAGTGAACCTAAATGAATAAAAATACTGCAAAGGAGATCAATATATAAAAAACTAGCCATAGTTCAGAGACTAGGCAAATGGGAAAGATAATGCTGTGTTCATGGTGCCTTGTAAGTGGTAATTTACGTAATTTCCCACCTAAGGTCATTCGATGTGTGAAGTGGAAAGAAAAAACATGGAAAGCTCATAAAAAGCTACTTCAACCATGCTTTTACAGATTACAGGCCTGAGTGGCTATTGTTACCGGTCCCCTATAGTGAACTTCAAACATTCATGCAGCATTTTGGACTGAAACTGCATTACAGCAACAATAACAACAACGACAATAGCGAGTAGCTTAGCAACAAGGTAGCCAGAGGACAATAGCAAGTAGCTTTAGCAACAAGCTAGCCAGCTAACGTTTGATTAATATGGTCAGTGTTATAGAGTTAATAAAGTACTGTGTCTGTATATTAACTGATCTAAAGCCAATACTGTTATAAACTAATTAAAAATAGAGAAGTGGTACTTTACACTGTTCACACTGTGCGTGGCCATGTTGATTTGACGTCACTCCGTAAACAGGGAAGGAACTGGTAGTTGAGAAGACTATCCCAAGTTGACGCGTTGAAATATCGGTGTTTTCGGTGGTTGTCACCGGTTGTAGGAAGGGAATTACTAGTTGTATTTGAAGGCAGCATAATATTTGCTTCCTCTAAGACAGGGCTCTTCGCTCTTATCCAGAAAGGGCCAGTGTGGGTGCAGGATTTCATTCCAACCAGGAGCCACACCTGATTTCACTTGTTTAATCAGTACATCTTGGTCTCCTACCAACTACCAAGTGTGCCTCCAATTTGGCTGTAACGAAAGCCTGCAGCCACACTGGCCTTTTCTGGATAAGAATGAAGACCCCTGCTCTAAGACATGTGAAGCCAGCCAAATGCATCTTTTCAAACCGCTGCTGATGCTGCATCAAAAATATATCTCTCATACTCAGAGGAAAGCACCATCTGCCCTCTCCCCCATGCATGAGCTCATGTTGATCAGTGTCACAGTCATTGATAGGAGAGAGAGTAACACCGCTTTTGTTCTCTCAGCTGTGGTATCATTGGGATTTGAACTCATTATCTCCAAACAATATTGTAAACGCTTTTCTGCTGCACCACTTAGGAAAACAGGGTTATAATTAATAGTGACACCTGCATTACTACATAATTTGACATTATCAAAGAATAAGAATAATAATAATAATAAAGCTCATTATTAGTGCTTCATGTGGCATTATTAGAGTTTATTAAAATGCTTACATGGAATCATTACCAACTTTTAAAAAATTACAAGCACAGTTATAATGATAGATGAATATTGTTTCAACCTAAGTGCTTAAACAATAAGATAAACAGTTACAAAAGGACATGGAATCTCAACCCTGGGTGCTTGAATAAAAGCCAAAACGTAATCGAAAAGGTGATCAATGCAAAGTAAGTGGAGAGAAATCTAAAGCGTGATGTGAAAAAGAGGGTCTTTAGGTCTTAAGTGAAAGTAATAAAGGAATGGAGGAGTGTGGGTGGAAATTCATTCCACCCACTAAAGAGCCAGGATGCTGGAGCTGTGAGATCTTACAGAGAAGAACACACCAGACACCCTGAGGTTGAAGACCTGAGTTGGTGTGCAGGTGTGTCGTTTTGAACCACGGTGCATAGATAACATGGTGCAGAGGCCATTGATGTCTGGAATGCAAAGACAAGAAGCCAGTGAAGTGACCTCAGTATGGGGTCACATGAGAGACCTTATGAAGCAGGTGAGCAGCAGTGTTCCGAATGCCCTTTACAGGAAATACTGCATATGAATTTAGACCAGCAAGCTGAGCGTTGCAGTAGTAAGTCAATAAATAACTAGAGATTGTATAAAAAGTTGAGCAGATTCTGAAGTCAGGAAAGGTCATATTCTTCCGATGTTATGCAAAAGAAATCAGCAGCTGTGTGTTCTGGATGGACTGCGTGGACGTTGATGGTGATTGACAGGTCCTTTAAGGGGGAGTTCTTTGTCCGTAGTTGTAGAAGAGTAAAATAAACAGTACGACATGTGTTTAAAGGAATGTTCAGTATGAGTATATTGTGAAAAAGAATCCTCGGATGAGCACAGGGCAGTCTTTATGATTACTGCAGCACTTCTTGGGTACAAGTTAAAGTAGTTAGGGAGTTAAAATTATTTCAGTTTTATTATGCTTTTGGGGAAACTCCTTCAAGGCCTCTCTTTTTACAGAAACAGAAACAATTCTTTTTTAGAATTTAATTACAGTTCCATTTGTTACAGTCCTTTAATAACACAACCCTCACATACTTGACACATTATTCGATTCACTTTTTGCACTTTTTTTAACTGAACCAAAAAGTTACTCTTCTCACACATCACTGTCGGAAGTAATGAACGATCCCCAGGGACCTCCATTCCAACATTAGTGTATTAATATAGCAATTTTTGTAATTGCTTTCCTAATTGTTTTTCTTTTTTTCATTGCTATAAAACTTTGCTCATGATGAACAACTCATGAACAAACATTCAATCCGGCACTCAACCTGTCTGCAGTAAAATATCTCTTCTGGCTGTTATATAATCAGTTGTCATAACGGAATAATTTATATCCTGCAGTGATGTTAAGTAAATTGCATAAATTGGGAACATGGATTGAAAAGTTTCGATATTTTGTTCCAGAGTGTTTCCTGTCCACCAGCTGTCTAAGACTAAAATCAGGCGGAATGAGAGATGTTGGTGGAAATAATGAGGGAAAAAAAGATCTGTAGTCTTAGCACTAGGTGGTAAGGTAATTATTATGATTACAGACTTCATTATCATTAATCTCTGTGACAGCATGTGCCAAAACGAGTTATTCCATATGCTATATTCCAGCATTAAAAATGCATTTGCTTGTTGTTTGGAGTAAAACGCAAATGCAGCATTCTGCTGAAAACGCGCTGTGCACATCCTGCCGTGTGTGTGAGAAGGGAAATGAATTAATAATAGATGGTATACGGCTGGGATGATGCTGGTTTCTGTAATGGCAAACTCGTGAGTTCTTATTGTCTCAACAAAACTGTGATCATGCATAACAATGTCTTCTGAATATTGCAGATCAGGAATGCATAAATAGTGAAATAGGTCTGATTTAATTACTCTGCCATGACAGCCAAGTCCTGGCGAGTGGTGCACACGGCCTGGTGCAGAATCCAAAAGGAGGTAAAGTGTCTGATCAGATGGAGCTTGGTGTGTACAACCTGTTCTGTCCTGCAGGCTTCCAGTCACAGTGAATGTGTCTCTATGGAGCACTTCTGTAGTCAAAGGTGCATTTTGTTTGATTTAGTCCTTGAAACCTTGAAACTTCTCTGCTAGAAAGGTTTTGTGGTGGTGGCGCACAAGGACAGGTGGGAATGTGTGTGTGAATGTGTGTGGACTGAGGATGTGTTCCTGCCTCATGCCCAATGTTCCAGGAATAGGCTTCGGATCTACCATGACCCTGTCCCTGCTGATAAGTTCAAAGAAAAAAAAAAAAGAGTCTTAGTAAGGTGTTGGGCCACCATGAGCTGCCAGAACAGCTTCAATGCTCCTTGGTATAGATTCTTTCATAGAGTCTCTGGAACTGTATTGGACAAATGAACACCATTCTTCCTAAAGATATTCCGGATGCTCAGTTGGTGTTGCGATGATGATAGTGGTGGTGGTGGTGGTGGTGGTGGTGAAGAGCTCTGTCTTACTACACCAGTCCAAAATCTTCGAGTATTTTCAGAGCTCTGGCTTTGCAATGATAGAATCCTAGACAGAGAAGCAGTTAATTTTACATAACAAACAAAAACAGACATAGCCCCCTCCCTTAAGAAATCTCACTTCATAACTCATATAAGCACGTGCCTTGAGTAAAAACTCCTTGCGTCTCAGAGCAAGATCATTCATCAAGACGTTCACACTGAAGTATCATAACTCTTGGATTATCAGGAATAGCCACCTTTCTCCGGCGGGTATATCAAGAGCACGGCATGTGACCCGTTGAAGAGCTCTTCAGTTCATCCTCCGCTTCCGAAATGAAGCAAAAAGCATGTTACTCACAAGAGCTGGCTTCATTATTCTCTTAAACGGAGCAGCACATCTCAACAAACCACTTCATTACGTCTGTTCATGTCTGTTAATAGCCAGTCTTTCAGAATGCAGCCTGCTCTCATAGGGAGGGAACGCTGCAAATTTGAGGCAAGCATTACAGCTTTTTCCTTCATGTGCAATTTAATTGTTTCACGTCATGGAATTTTCACATGTAGGGCATGTGTTTTTATTTTTAGACATGATTTTTTTTTCAGTTCATTTTCCCACATTTTTTTTAAAACAAGATCCATTTTTTTGTGATCGTTTTACATGATTCATTTAGGTTCACAATTCATGATTTCTTTCACTTTTCCACAATTCATTTTTACATTTTACATTTAAATTGTTTTACACATTACTTGTTTATTTTCAGATGTGATATTTTCACATGATTCATTTATTTTCATGTGTAATTTTCTTTCCCCGCATGATTCGTTTTACACGTGAGGTTTTGCCCCCACGTGATTCATTTATTTTCATATTCATTTGGTATGCACGAGTCATTTTCACGTGTGATGGTTTTCCACATGATTCACTTATTTTCAAGTCATCTTTCCCCACATGATTCATTTATTTCTTTGTACACATGATTCGTTTTTACATGTGCTTGTTTTGCACGTGATTTGTTTATTTTTATGCAATTTTTTGACACAATTCATTCCTTTTCACATCATTTACACTTGATTCATGTGATTCATTTTTATTCCTTTTTACATATAATTGTTTTACACATGATTCA